AAAAGAATTCACACAGGCAAACAAAGAAGATACGAAGGTAGAACTAACTTCTTTTGTTGTATGCAAAGACACTGGGATTGTCCTCTTAAATTAATTCCCATAGCTTCGGCTGTGTTCAACGGATGGGTTCCAGTTACGTTCAGCAAGTTCGATGGAATGCTATAGATAACTTTGAAGTCACTATTTCTGTCCACTTGGTGACCACTATCATCAATCAAAATGAATCAAAAGAGAAGTTCTTATAGATTTTACTTGACATTTTCCAAACCATGAAGGAAGATGCTCATTAATACTTGCGTCGGTGGCATAGTGGTTAGGACGCTCACCTACCATGCACATAGTCCGGGGTTCGATTCCCGGCCACTGGATACACTCCTTTACCCCCCTCGCTAAGCTAGAAATAATGCTGGTAAAGAGGAAAGGTTGGGCATGAGGCTAGCAACCCCATCCTGTGAAACAAAAACACTGCTACAGAGACTTCAAGCCACTAGCTTGAAGGTGCCCTATGTTCCACTGGGGAACGTGGAGAGAAAAAATACGTTTGTTAAGCTGTCTAGTTGTTCACTCTATATCGCTTTGTCCACAGGAGCAACTAAATTTGTAGACACACAATGATAACTGTTCGGAGACTGGAAAATGATAAACAAAGGGAGGCGGCAGTATAAGTCCGTTTTATTCCTCTGGATAATCTCAGATGTAAGACTTCACTAGCAACGTATCCATTAAAACGCAATTTCATAAACAGTTGATTCTTTTTTACTGTTTTCAGCTGAAATGCTTAAATAATAATAATAATATATAGTAGCGAATAGAATATCAACTAAAATTAGGAAAATCCGACTCGTGGCCCAAGTGGTCTAGTGGATAACGCTTTGGCGTTTGAAACTATGGGTACTGGGTTCGAGCCTCGGTGGGAACATCATCACTCACTGAGAAATGCAGGTACATCCAGTTGACGAGTCCCAAATAGGACGAAATGCGCATCCTGGATTCCACTGTTAGCCACCATCCACCAATTGTATACTAATTAAATACCCAGACATCGTCGAAGCATCTGCATAAGAAGCCGACATGTCAACCTGAGACCGAGCACTTCGGTCCAATCAATCGACGGGAAAACCAAAAATTCAATTCAATAAAAATTCATGATAATTCAAACCTAGATGGCCAAGATTAGGATAATGTCTGAACTAACTACAGCAGTGTTTAGTAGTTGAACTCTTAAGGCAAAATTGAGATTCGTAGATATGTGGTAAATGACTCTGAAAGGTAGGTTAACGTCAATCTTGTGTTCTGTATGCACAAGATGAGATAGAATAGCGCTACAAATAGATTTTGTTTGTCCTTTGCTTAACCACTATGCGGGATGATGTTTGGAAATTCGACGAGAAACACGCCTAAGTGTACGGCCTATGTAACTGGCTCCACAGGAGATCGATTATTTTGTGTTTTATTCTTGTCGCCTCAAATATAAACAAGTCATGGTGTTTTGTCTACAGGATACTAAGATGGTGAATATAAATTGTGCAATTAGTCATAATAGTAGTAACGATAATAATAATAATGGTTTTATCAATAATAAGGATACCTATGTTTGTCATTCTTTAGCCGACGAATGATTGGGATTAAAACGAAGGAGAAGCTACGTAGTTTTGCCACATCTATGTATATTTATCAATTCAACTGCACTTGCGGTGACAGTTATGTTGACCACACTACTACTAAACAGCTTAGCCAACGTGTTAGTGAACATCTCCCATCGTGGTGGTTTGGCAAAGGACTGACAAAAACAATCCGTAGCTCAATTTTGTCACATTTAATTATTGATAGTGGTCATGTAGTGGAGGAAACGAGATCTTTCAAGGTAATTCGTCGTATCTCACCGAATCTTTCCAATAGACTTCGTACTCGTCTACTGCACACAGCTGAGGCGACAGGCATTCGAACTATTAAACCTAAACTATGCATTCAAAAGAAGTTCGTACAGCTATTATCCCTCCCTTGTTGGCCTATTAAGACATAACCGACTGATGACTTCCCCACCACTCCTTGTTTATATTTTCAACCCCTTTCTTATCATCCCTTAATCTTATCACATCTTCATTAAAAACGTGTTTCATTTCCTTCCCTTACAGTCAATCCAACATTACTTAATCGGTTCATTTGTTTTACTAGCCTTTACCGACTACCACGTCTACCTGGACATTCGTTTGTTCAATCATGCTGTTTATTTTTATTATTTGTGTTATCACAGATTGCCTCACTTTTTCATCCTTGTTACTGATAAAACCATTATTATTTTTATTATTATTATTATCATTACTACTATTGTGATTAATTGCACAATTTATATTCACAATCGTATTACCCTATAGACAAAACACCATGATTGGTTTATATTTGAATTTTTATTTGTAAACTTATATAGGCATATTAGAGTTAGGCGCGATGAGATCTAATTGAAACCACAACAATATTGTTCGCTTGAATGTGTTGTTCTAAATTTTACTGCGGGAATATTTAATAGTTTGAATTCAATTGTATCTCTGTGGATAAGACATGCTGATATCGAGTAACAATCGGCAGTATACTAGGAGGTGAGATGTCAGCAAAGTCTGAGGATTTTCACCCAATGAAACAGATCAACAGGCGATCGAAATCAATAAAGTTTCTCAATAAGTAACTGATAGAGCACCAGTGGCACAAAGTAGTAGGAATGCTCGTTAACCACACAGGTGGTTTGGCGTTCGACCCCCGGCCAAAGAAGCACTCCTTTATCTCACTAAGCCAGTTATAAGACCGGTAAAGAGGCAAGGTTGGGCATGGGGCCTAGTTCATCCTGAGGCATAGACGAATCGCCCAAGATAAAGGCAGCTCATATGACAACAGATATAACGGAAGAAGTTGAGAGTCTTGCTAGAGGGAATTTATTTCAAGGAAAAGTATATCATACTTGTACATTTTTAGCCACCCGCATTAAAGCTCTGCTAGGTCAGAGGAGAATAGACTGTTCTGATTAGTTGGCGATTGACCAAAAGGTTAAACAAATTGTCCAATGAGAGGTTATTTCATGTCCACAACGTAAACAAAATCCAGATTTGAGGAGTAGATACTTCCCCCTCTTCAGGTATTTACTCAGAATATTGATTTTAATTTTGGCCGCTTCGTATCAGACTGAATCATGTTAAGCAGAAACCAAATATCTCGGGCCAGTAGAATCAATAATTAGGATTCATAAGGCTTCATTTTTAGAGTTAAAAATGTCTATCATAATCTACTTCTAAACTTATACTGTTAGATATCGTGAGTACTGTTCAATATTCGATAACTTTACGTTTTATTCACTTAATTACACAGTCTAATAGATATTCAGTATTAGGTGGTTGGAAGCAACCAGCCACAGAAAGCCTTGGCTGCACCTAGGTTTCGTACTAGTTGGCACTCACGCAAGTCAGAAAGTCATATCTCCAACCCGGAAGAAACTCATGTTCCTCCCGAGATTCGAACCTGCATCAGCCAGTCAGTGCTTCAGTCAGAGACGTTACCACTGCGGAGCTATTCGGGTTCGCAATTGATCTCCTGTAGAAGTGTACTGTAATGGATACTTTGATTGGCCACTAGTAACTAGTGTGATGTGTCTAGTCCTTTCTTTGGTGCAGACTGAATGCTGTGTCTAGTCAAGTTTTAAATGTAGCCACCATTCTATGTAGATCGCCATCACGGTGCCATTGCCTCCGACCATCTAATATCCTCAAATCAATGTGCACCGTATAAAATGGACTCACACAAAAAAACTTGGAAGATCCGGACTTCACCGATGATATATATATATGATTTCCCACAAACTGGAAGATAAACAAGTGAAAAGCAACAACCTGGCACAAGAAGCATCAAAGATACGACTTAAATTGAACATAGATAAAACAGATGTGATGAAGATTCCTGGCCAACACCAACGGCAACAACAACAGACAACAATCAGCCAGCATAAATGGGAGAAACCTGAAAGAAACAACCTATTTAACCTACATACTTACCTATCTGGGAAGCATCGTTTCAACTACGGACGGACGGAACTGAAGAGGATATCAAAGCGAGGATCATCGGAAAAGCAATGCAAGCTTTCATTATTCTCAAGTCTGTGTGGAGGTCAACAAAACTCAGCATGGGAAATAAAATCAGGATTTTCAACTCCAATGTGAAATCAGTGCTACACACTATACGGATCGGAGACTTGGCCAGCGCGTCATAAAGAGCATCTCAAACAAACTTCAGACCTTCACCAACAGTTGTCTTCACTCAATTACTACTCAAGACCAGATGGCGAGAAAAGATCAGCAACAGGGATCTCTGGCAATGAATGATCCATCACAACTGGAACCGATTGCGCAATAAATAGGTAAGAAGAAATGGAGATGGATTGGCTGGCCATACTCTGAGGAAACCATCACACACCAGGCCATCGCTCAAGTGAAACCCGGATGGGAAGCCGTGAGTTGGTTATCAGTGCAAGGGTGACTTGGAGGAGGTCATGTGAAGAGGAGATGATAGCGTGTGGGCAGACTTTGAGTGCGGTGAAAAAGTTGGCAGAGAACCGAAAGCAATGGAGACGCGCGGCTGAAGCCCTATGTTCCTCTAGGAATTAAAGGATATAATAATAATGTGCATCGTGATGACAAGCTACCTAGAATGGTGGCCACATTGCAAACCTGACTGATAGAATCCAGTCTGCACCAAACACCAAGGACTACACAAATCACTATAGTTACCAACTAGTTTCCAACCGAAAATGTTCAGTATTCTCATATAGTAACGGGGGTAGCAAAATGTTATCAAAATAGCCTTATATGAGGTCGGAAACCATTCAGAATAGCATCCAGTGGTAAGACCAGTATGCCATTAGACGGCTTAAGATAACCATTCTTGTCAAGCACCCTACTTGAAACTTTTCATCATTCTTTGCTGTTTCTATTTCTTCTTTTTCATCTCTTCAACCACAGCTGTACAACAGGATCGTTTACCGCCGTTCCCTTCAATATATCATCCATATTATGGTCTATCGAATTTGCTTACTTCAAATATCTTTACATCAATGCGTCACTTGATGATTGGACCAAATATTACACAAATAATCAATATGCTACTGTATGCTGAGCGTAATTCAAATCAATACTTAAATAATCAATATTTAGTACATTATTTGAATTACATTTTGAATGGATTCAATAAAACAAACTCAATCAGCCAATCAGCGACAAGGACGAGTGAAGTTATAAACCAATCAAATGTAAGCGTTAACAGCAGCTCCAGTGGCAGCAGAAGCGGGGGCAATAATAATAATAATAGCGAAAATTTTAAATTTTCAGAAATATTTAACTTATCTACTTATAGTGATATCAGTAGTAGTGATAATGCCATGAGACTGACTACTTCACCAGTATATTCATCAGAATTTTCAATGTCTAATTCAAACGCACCAGGAAAATATCCTTCACAGAATATGGATAGTAGTGAACCGCCTACAATCATGAATGAAATAACCAATTCTACACTGTCTTATCTGTTCGTGATCATTGAATGGGCAAGAAGTATCCCATTATTTACGGAATTACAGGTAAGTTAATCTTGTGTTTATTTGGGCGTATGAAGCACTGTCGAATTTGTAACATTCTTTATTTATATTTGATGACAGACGTTTGCATTCTACTTCCCGTCTTAAGTGGTATAATATTATTATATGATGATTGTTCCCATGGGTTCCGAGTGGAGCATGGTTCTTCAGCAACACATCTCTGTTTAGTCCTGTTTTCTACAGTCTTCTCAGGCTAGTTCCACGATCTCCCATAGTCTTTGATCTCCTCCTCCTCCTCCTCTCATGATCTTATCCGTGTCACCTTCATAGCACTGCTGAACTCATCGTTTTCCAATTAGATTCCACTCCAGGCGCTCGATGTCACCTAACAGTCTCCTCTCCGTGTGCCCAATCCATCATCACTTTCTCTTATATTTTTTTAACTAACAGTCGACTATAGTTTTCTTGGTTTTTTTCCCAACCAGAGTTTCTTCTTGCTAATTCTTTCTGACCGACCGGCCGACTGGTCATTTGATTTTCATTATGGAGCCGATGAAAGCAGATGTTGATAAAAGTCTATAACGGGTTGTTGGAGATGCTTCCCGTGAGATACGCTGGCCTAATTTCTAACTCATTATAAAAGAAGTGACTGACTGAATTACCATCTGTGTTGAAAATCCGAATTGAATTCTTCACGTTAGAGAGTGAAGAAGATTTCCAAAATGATTCTAAAGTAATGAAGGTTTGTCTTGCTTTTCCGTTTCTGACTGGTAGGCTGGCTTTAACATCTTCATCCATGGTGTGTACCTGTGGTTGAAGTCGTCCTTCTTAGCTGGCTAAATGAAGGAAGTAACCTCTGTCGAATCTACCCCATTGAGATTGCAACTGGCGCTTGTTGTTGTTAGTTGGTTGGTTGGTTGGTCATTTTCATCACATCAGTCTTTTTTTATGTTTACTTGAAGACCTATCTTTGCTAATTCTTGAGGGAGTGTTTATCGGTTTTCGACTGCAAGTCCTCAAGTTTGTGCGACATTAAACATGAATCATCCGCAAAATCCAGATCTTATAGAGTCTTTTTTTATCAGTCCAACATATTTCTGCGTTCTTAATCCACACTGACAGCCTATCGTATAATCCAGTCCACCGCAATTACGCATATCACCTGTGATAATAGGCCGGCAGCCTTTTCTTTCTTACTGTATTCATTTCAAAGGCTACGCTGAGTTTACCGCTGTGGACCACATAACAGGTGGCATTGTCATGTAATTATTGGATGAAGTTGATAAGGATTTAGGGTACCACACTCCACAGTGTTGAAGTAGTTTCTAAATCATTTCGTGGTCAACGCCGTCGAAGATCCTTACACAGTCTACGAAACTGAGTTCCTTTGAAGAGATCAGCCCATTGTTTTATTTTTCTCTCCTCCTCGCTGCGTCGGTGGCACAGTGGTTAGGACTCTCGCCGACCATGAACATGGTCCGAGGTTCGAACCCCCGCCGACGCACACCTGATATCTATGGTCGGCCTGCAAAATTTGGGCTCCCGATATCCATGCTGAAAATTCCATACTTGTACCAAAAATACAGTGTGGAATCAAGCTGTAAATCAAAAATATAAAAATAATATCTCTTATAGGTTTCATATGCGTTGATCTCTCCTCGGGAAGAGACCCGGTTATCAGATATAATGTCCTGAGGTTTGTTCCACCTACGGCCTTTACTGCTTCGATTGACAGTGAGTGAGTGTTGTCATAGCATTGTCTTCTGTTTTTTCTAACACTCTTCTGCTTTAATATGATGAGTAACATTGAGCTTAGCAGTAGGGTGCTAAGTAAGAGAAGAAAGTTAGTCGATGTGTGTTTGTGAAGTTGAGTTGATTAAGATGGTTAGGACATACATTTGGTATACAGAGTCACCACCTTCCTTACTGAACAATGATAAATGACACAGAATTCATTTTGAATGATGTCAGGGGAGGGTGTCAAATAAAACCTCTCATCAGTCTTATGATGTTTTTGACTGTGGATTCAAGCCAGCCACCTAAGAAGGTGTAGACTGTTTGATAGAGGTCGACCGTATGCTAAGAAACAGTGAATTCAGACTATTTGTGATATGATTCAATGGAGCAGATGAATGCACTCTTTGATTCCTCACGTATTTCCATGTTATGATTCTTTCTTCAGCACATTTCCGTTGATTATAGTTCTTTGGAAATTCCTTTCTTACTTTTCTATGCCTTTATTTGATAAGTGAAGTGTAGCATCTTGAACTGGTTAGCTTCTGTGAAAGGTTCTATGTTAAAAACTCAGTCATTCGTCAGAGAGATATGGTTGGAGGGTTTCATCATGCGCTGACATCAGTTAAAGAACCACTGGAGAATCTGGGAGTCTTACTTGCCTGTATCATCCTAGTGCATGTGACTGTTCATTAGTACGCACCCACCATCAGGGTTTGAACCCAGGAGCTCACAGACCACTAAGCCTCGTGGGACCCAACCCAATCCAACAGCTCTAGTCCTTGAATTCTAACTTCCACCAATTAATTCATGACCTGGCGCGACCAATTATCCAATGTCTTCAACCTGCTGTACCCTACTGATCACGATTTACCACTAGAACCCAAGGTGACTGCCTGAATTGGACCAGTCGCTAGTGAGCATCAGATTAATTTTCCTCTAAATAAAATCCCTACAAAACCAATGCTTGAGAAAGATATGGCTCCTCGGTCCGAATCCCGTTTAACCTACAGATAGTATGAATAACCCTCATCATATAACAGCCCTGTCCTATTTCTAAATGTTCATCTGTTGAATAACAAAACTGAAAAGGTGACTAACGGAGTACACATCTGCTCATATTCGTGTTGTTAGTTGTTGAAACATTCACAATACCCATCAACTCATCCTAACTGTTGAATTTCGGTAGCGGCCTTCTTTCATTGAGAAATCTGTTGCATCAGTTTAATCACTTCATCATAAACCAATAAGTCAGTGACGTCAGGGGTTCAATAGTAGGATGCTCACCAACCACGTTCGTTGATCAAGTTCGGCTATCAGACGACGCGTGCATCCAAACCTCGTCTAGTTTACTATCCGATAAGAAGCCTGAAAAAGACGGGGAGGGTTAGGAAGGTGACACTGGCAGCACTATCGTTACTGAAACTCCAAAAGGTTTATCGTCCTGCATCCTATTATGAATGTGAAGCAATGAAATAAGGATTCTGTGATACATATACCTCACTCAGACTTAAAAATGTTTCATCGATAACGGCTCTGAGTGTAATGAAACAAGTACATCGTAATTAAGGCAACTAGGCAAATACAGAGTGGAAAACAGCCAAGCTGATGAATGGAAATAAATATGAAGATCATCTGAGCTGATTAATTTTTTCAAGCAGAGCTCTAGGTGCTTTAAGCGGATTGTAATGGCCCCTGTTGTTTGCAGTATTCTATATTAAGAGGCCTTTAATAATTTATTCATTACTCACCCCCCCGCACCCCTTAGATGGTAGAGAAAGATCCTTCAATTCTCTAGTAAGCTGTATGGCCTGTTTGGACGAAGTGATCCAATAGAGAACTATTCATGATTTTAACAACACTTTAATCTAACCACACTGTGGTAAGTGTTCTCGAGCCTGAAAATTTAAGTGCTTAGAACAACAATGGTCAATCAAACTGGCTCCACAGGAACAGTTCAACTGACGGATACAAGTGAAGGTGGCTAGCTAACCTTCGGAATGATAACTGGTTGTGTGGAAATAATAAGCTGAAGCTTACTGGCATCAATATTCCTCTAATCATTACTGTTGTGGCCTGTGTTACTGATAAGATTTATAAGTAGTATATAAGAGACGTTCATCTACCGGCATGAAAAAATCAAACAACAGGAAGGTAGACTTGATCTCAGAGAAAGCAAATGATACAGCGTTGTGGAGATACATGAGAGATATGAAATGAACACAAAGGAACCCAGTATCAAGGTCAAAAGGCGCACTACACGGAAGATCTGTCCAAAAGGTCAGTTCAGTATAAGGTATACATGATTTCACTACATACGACTCCATCCAGAAGGATGTTCGTTGATCACAGATCAGCCATTTGTATCCATTGGTGATTCTTACACAAGCATTACGAAACACAAACGATGACTTGAGGCAACAACCCTTTAATCCGCTGAGTCAGGTGCTAGAATTATCAAATAATTCAAAGCACCAACTAAACTTAATTATTCATGGTTAAGTCTTTGATCAACGCGGAAAAAAAATACATTTCTTTTCAGTGATACTACTCTAAGCCAGTTGAAGTATAAAACTTGGGCACTGTGATGGTAGAGCATAACTCCATTATAGGTAAGATTTCATTTTGATAAGTCACAGTGCTGTTATACAGTAATATTAACTGATGACCACCTTTCGAGTACAAACTAGTGCTCATAATCATATCAAGTCACTCACTCACACGAGTTTTTTCCTTCATTTATATAGATGTGTGGAATCGATTAGATACTTAAATAAAAATCAATATAGGATAATGTACATTCACTAGTAATAATAGTAATATTAGTGTCATTGATCAGTTACAATCAGATGGGAAATAAGACGAGTGATTTTTATAGTCATAATAAGTAACTTGTAAGAATGTTGTGATGTACGTGAATTGAATTGAAATAGAATTTTGAGATTATTTATTATCCTCCTCTGATTTGACTGACTGACTGGTGGTAATAACATCTTCCATGCATATCTCTGGTATTTGCATTGAGTCATTTCTGTTGCACGTGATGTGTTGGGTGTAGACTCAATGAACCAGGCAGGATTCAGTAATCAACCTCTTTCTTCACCTACATAGATTACTTCTTAGAATCTTAACCCTCTTCCACCCTTTTGTGTGTGGTCGTATGTTAATGCATGCAGTGCAATGTAGTACTGAGCTTTTTTCTAAATTACTTATCTTCTCGGAGTCAACCATTCTTACCTTAGCTAAATTCTTATGTTCCGACAATCTGATGACCTCACAGTCATTGCAGGGTATTTTGTAAATTATAT